GTAAGTCAGTCAGTCAGTCAGTCAGTAAGTAAGTAAGTAAGTAGGTAGGTGAGTGAGCGAGCGAGTGAGTGAGTGAATTATAAAAGAGTGAGCAAGTAAACATGCACATATGTATGTAGGCATGCATGTATGTCATGTAGGTACGTAGGTAATTATGTACGTAGGTATGCATGTGTGTATGTTTGTGTGGTGTACTGTCTGTAGTGTAGTGTATGTAAATATGCACAGTGTGTAAAATATGAAACTGTGCATGCATATAGACATGTTTGCTTCTATGCATGTTCTGCACATAGTGCATACATGCGTTTGTGTACATATATATATATATATGTATGTATGTGTGTGTATATATATATATGTATATGTGCGTGCGTGCGTGCATGTGTGTGTGTGTGTGCATGGTGTGTCCCCTGCAGGGGGGTATAGAACCAGAGGACTAGTCGTACGGGAGCGACACACGGGAGATTCGTTTTGAGCCCGTGACGATTTCACAGCGCTGCAGAAGAAAGCAGGGAAACGTTTACTTCCGGTGAGTATTTGGCTCTCTGGGCTTCGGATTTCCTGCCTGGGGAAGATCGAAGGTTGCCGTGAGAGATGCCCTTGTCAGACCATTGGTTCGAGACCTGACCATGTCGCAGATCCCACAAACCCGACACTGCCCCACACCCCAAAGCAGGAAGCAAAACAACTTTGCAAAGCCCGCGCAAAGCATCACTGAGCAGGTTCTTGGGTTCCTTGGTATCCACCTGCGAGCGCGGCTCCTGGCTCCGGTCCGCTTTCCGGCTAGGGGTTCAGGGCTGTGCAAGGGAGGGTAGAGTAGAGGTCAGAATACATATATATATATATATATTAATAATAATAATTATTATGATAATATATTGTAGAGAGAGAGAGAGAGAGAGAGCAAAATCATGGTCGCCTTTCTTCATACTATACTATATGCCAAAGCCGTATTTACCTGTTAATTAAGACCCGTTTATCTGTTCTGTGGGCCGTGCTTAGACACTTAATTCCTGACACACTTCAGCATTTCAGTGTGCCTTAATTTTGGGTCCCTAACCCCGGCTAGTTGTTCCTGCAAGTTGCTCTTGCTTTGCTACTGAGTGATATATATATATATATACATACATACATACAGGTGAGTCATTCTTGAAGAAAGGGGGCCTGAACTTCCCTCTGAAGGACCTCTTAAGGTACAAGCCCTTGATAACAAACCCGATGCCCAAAATGTGGACGTCGGATGCCTGATCGAGCTCGACGGACGATGTGATGTCCATTGGAGCTCATGCCGAGGTATTTGAAGATGCTTTGTTCCACTAAATCGCGGAACCTTGGTTTTGGTTCTTCTCAAGCTTTGATCCCTGACCTCAATCGCTCGCTTGCTTGTCCTTTCCTCGTGCGCCAGTGTGAGCGCCGAAACCGGCTCCACGTCAGTTCCACTGAGGGCATTGCCTCGGTCGCAGCTTCTGCAAGCTTTCGCTGAAGCCCCAGTGCATGGGCTCCAACTCGGTTTCTAAGGTTCATGGGGAGAGGCGTCGGTGGTGTAACGGTTTTGTGATGATTAAATGTTGGGAGTATATGAGTGATTCTTCCATGAAGCTTGGCACTCTCCGGGCCTTCTGCGTGCAGCCGTTGATGAGAAGGGTTCACGAAAGGCCATGGCTGAAGGTAGTGCGGTGGCGTAGATGTGAACTCTGGGCTTGCAAGTTTCCGAATTTAGGGCCCGGGATTTGTTCGGCAATCTTTCTAAATGGGTAGGCAGCTCCAAGAAACTCTTAGTAAAATCTCATCCCTCGAGGTGCTGTAGGAAGAAATGACCAACTTCCGTAGGGTGACATCCAGGCCTTCTGCGCCCCCCGTGTGACTTTTCGAGAGTGGTCCAATGCTGCAACCTGGCCTGACAGGGTTAGGATCCAGGGTTTAGGGTTTGGGGTTTAGGGTCATCCGTATGTTTCAAGCTGAGCGGTTTTGCATGTTTCAAATCTGAACCTTCGCCATTAGACCCATCTTGTCTCCCACCTTCGGGTGAACAGGAGAATGTGCAGGTTAAGCTTGTAAACAAAATGTCTTGCAGAGCCTCCTGAAACTCAAGCATGCATTCGCAGAAGCATGGTTATCCCTGTTTCTCCTTCGGATGGCTGTTCGTCATGCTGGTATACCAAGCCATCACCATACCCTTTGGCCCACTACAGTAACTCTTATAGAACCCCTTCAGATGAACCCTTATGAATTATTAGAGTTATTAGAGCTTCCTAGAGTCCCTCAGCCATTGAGGTGCTCTTGGCCTACGAAAGGCAGCACGGGAAGGAATTGAGGATGAACGAGCTGGGTCTTCTTATAACTGAGGGTTATCGCAGGGTTGACGCTTATAGTACTTTGAACATTATGGCAGGGTTGATGCTTATAGTACTTACTGATTTCAACAAGTGTAGTTCGACACGAACCCTTGGTGGAGGCCTCTTGTTTCGATGAGGAGCGGCCCCAGGCTCCTGCAATTTCGTAAGTACTGGTGCTTCAAACGCGATAGCGAGGGGATAAAACATCAACAAAGATCAGAGAGTCAGAAAAGTGTATAGCATGCACCTACATGGCAACCGCAGTTGATGAACAAATCAACGAAGATCAGAAAGAGCAAAAACATGTAGAGCATGCACTTGCATGGCCACAACAGTCATCATTAATTCAGCCATGGCTCATCCAACCGACCGTGCCCATACCTTCTAATAGAGATGAGACACGTCTCGATATCCCATATCATGCAAGCACTGGTGGCTTCACAGAATTCAAGATTGTTTGAATGGTGTGCAAGTGCCGGACGAGCATGTGACTTTGGGGTGCGTGGTCTCTAAGGTTCTGAACTACCAAATGCCAAACTGGCAAACATTCGGTTGAGCTGCTTCAAGGCTTCGTCTGAAAAATGACGGTTCGTCTCATTACGGACATGCCCCAAACATGTCTGGGCATCCGCTCGTCGTGTTGTCTGAGCTGACACGCCTTTCACAAAATCCAAACGTGAAGGCCGTCTCTGAAAGTAGGACTTTTTTCGGGATCGGGGTGGACTTCCGTTGTGCCTCCGTCTGGCAATCTCTTCCTCTCTCAGCTATTCTGCCCGCAGCCCTCGAGATACATGCGAGGTCGTCTCATGCCCTATAGCCCACGCCTCAAGTGCCCGTCGCTGCAACAAACATTTGCGGGCCGTGGTGAACGACCGCCTCGTGGCATCTGAGCCCCTGAAACCTAAATTGTAGGTTCCGTTTCTTCCTAGCCTAACCGTGACCCTACTATGTGCGTGACCTTGGCATTAATATTGACAGCTTACAGTTGGGTATGCGTGCAGCTAGAAATACCGTAAAGAACCTTGGACGTCTGAGTTGACCCCGCAAGTAGGTCCTAACAACTAGAACGAACACCACAAGGACTCCTAGTAC